CGTTAGTACTGGAGTGAATTTAGCCAAATCAATTAATTCACTGCATCTCAGTTGTACCCCTTTTTTCAAATGGGAAAATGTCTACCCTGTTTACTTCCTAGAATCATGCTGAGACTCGACACAGGATAATGTATGTGAAAGGACTTTGGGAATGATCATTCATGACATGCAAGTGAAGTATGTATTCGTACAATCAAAAATCTGTTTTGCACACTCTCTATGAGTAAGACACTATTGGAAGAACTGGGGACACAGGCTTAGATGGTGCCTCTTCTGCTAGATATTATAATCTGTGGAGAGGAGGTAGACTATAAACAAAAAATAGCATAGTGTTAGAAAGTTACTCATGTTGAGGAAAAAGACAGAACTAAGAGTCTGTAAGTCACCGCATGGCCTTTGCTTCTCACTGTAAGCGAGAGGGGCATCCGCTGGCACAATATGATAGAATTTACCTTTTAAAAGGAATGCTCTGGATCCTGTATCAAAAAATGGTGGTATCCTGTATCAAAAAATGGTGGGTAGGGTGGGAGTAGTGCAAGATGCAGTGGTTGGGTTCTAGGCATGCTTTGAAGACAGAGTAGACAGGATTTGCAGACAGAGGAGGTGTGGAGGACACAAGACAGGGCTTGACAATAACACAGACATTGGGACTGAGCCGCTGGAAGGATGGAGTTTGTGTTTGCAGACATGAATAAGACTGTGGGAGCACGTCTGTCTGGGTCAAGATTGGGATATCGGTGATATTTGATAGGCCCCTTAGATATCCAAGAGGAGGTGCCTGGTGTTGGATGTAGGCACTGGAGCTGAGGAGAGACATCTTGGCAGAAAATGTAGATTCAAAAGCCATTATTGTAAATGACATTTAAAACCATGGACTGGGGTGCCTGGCTGGATCAGTAGGCACAGCAAGTGACTCTTGATCTTGGGTTGTGAGTTCAAGCCCCCACATCAGGAGTAGAGCTTACTTAAAAAAATAAATAAATAAAACATGGACTGGGTGAGATCACCAGGGGTAGTTTAGCCAGAGGGAAAAAGGAGCCCTGGAACACCTAACATTTAGGAAAGAGAAAGAGTCCTCAGAAAAAGACACTGGGAGTGTTCGGTGATACAGGAACAAAACTAAAGGCCAGGCATCTTGAAACTAAGTGTAGGCAACATCTTTCGACAACAAGAAAGTGGTAAGTAAAATGATGCCATTGAGTCAATTAAGATGAAAATGACAAATGGTTTAATGGCTTTAGCAACAGAGACGTTAAGAGAACCTTGCAAAGGCACACAATGTTGTCATTATTATTAAATTCAATGAGTGGAAAGAATGCTGAATTTGGAGTCCCGGCACTCGGGTTCAAGTAAGACATAATAAAGGAAGGAGATAAAAACATGAATGGTTTCCTCCCAGGGTGATTATCATGATCAAACGATATGAGGAAGTTAAGCATACTCTATGGAACAGGAAGGGAAAGGCCAATGTCAACTCAAAAACATCAAGGTCACGGGGCGTGCGTGATCATTAAGTACCCGTAACTCCTTTTATGCTCTTGAAGACTGCTCAGCCACGTCCCAGCCCCCGCCCCACCATGCACAGGCGCCCACGCACACACAGATTCTCTCAATAATACTGGAGACTGAATATGTATCATGGAGCTCTAGAAGGTTTAAGAGTTAAGCCAGCCTGTTGCAACTCTGGTGCTGCTGACATTACCAGACGGCATTAATTTAATTCCACTCAGTTATGCTTTTAAATTTGATTTGAGAAATGTGTCATAAAATGCTATTGAGAAGCGCGGTGCCGCATTCCTAAGCAGGCTGGGAGCCTGTGTCTGTTCTGGGAATCCTTGAGGAGAACGGCTTGAGTTCAGGTTGAGCCTGTGGACTTGAGGGAGTTTACTCTTTGCTGGGGTCTGGTGTCAGAGGTTTCCTGATCCCGGACTGCTCACTGTTGAGAGGAGATCAGGAGCAAAGCATAAGTCCCTGGGGAGTAAGGCCTTGCAAAAACCAAGTGAAAGCATAGGGAAAATTATAATTTTAACAAATAACAGGGATGATTTAAAAGACTTTAGATATGAAATTGAGTTTATTTTAAAGTAATTCAGCTTATTTTTCATACTGGGTCATCAGAATGATTTTCTCAGTTATCTTCTCTGGCCTCAGTTTCTCAGCGCTCAAACTGGAAGTGATAGACTAGATCAGAAGTCTTCAAAGAGAGGCAAAGTTTTCTCAAAGTGCATACCCAGCGATCCACTGGTAGAAAGTGGTAGAAAATTCTGGACTTTCATTTATTTCTAGGGCATCTTTTAAAATCTGTAGGTCTTGTGTATATTTTTGGCGTATAATATAAATAGCAAAATAGCAAGTAAATAAGTCTATAATGTATGGGTATCCTCCCTCCCTCTCTCTGTCTGTGTCTCTGTCTCTCTCTCTGTATGTATATAAGCATAGATAGAGAGAGAGATGGATGGATATATTCTGATACAGACATGTAACTACCATAATCTAAAGAATAATTACCTGATTGATCTCTCTGAGTTTTCATAGCTTTTTTTTGCTTAACAATTTTATGGTCCTGAAATGAGATATTATAATCATTGTGATTATCTCAAAACTGTGAAATGGCAGTTTGACTACTGAATGGAGCGCTCACCTGCTCACCTTTGGCTTTTTGGTGATTCTAAAAATAAATAAGTAACTCCCTTTACCAGGAGCTGAGTGAAGGCTCAGTGGAGGGTTGTCTCAGTTTCCATAGGTCAAGAATATCTACAGTGAAACTTCACATGGGGTCCTCAAGTGGTAGGTAGCAAGGGATTCTAATGTAGTCCAGGATGTCTCAGCTATAGTCCTAACTCTGTCACTAATTTGATGGGGAAGCATGGACTAGTCACTCCCCTCTCTTGGCCTCACAGTTCCAGTCTGCAGATTTGCAAGTGTGGGTTTCTCTGGATGCACATCTCAGCCCAAAGCTGGCTTCCTCAGCCAGATATTCTCTGACCCCTCTCTCGAAGGGCTGCTTCTTGCCCTGCCTACGGTAACTCTTTATCATACATAGTATTTTACTTTCTTCATAGAAGAGTAACTATCTGAAATTGTCTGTTTACTATTTTGTTCATGTGTTTATTGTCTGTCTCCCCTAACTAGACTGTGGGCTCCATGGAAACCACAGGGAACAGAGGCAGATGTACCAGCAGGCAAATGAAGTTTCAGCATTAGGACTCCGGGAGTTGCGTCAGCAATGTGAGCACATGGTTATATGTGTTTTCTTTTTTCTTTTTCAGGATTTTCAAAGGAGAGTATTGCAGTACATAACTGATCAAGACTATCGTCTCTCTTTACTCTTACTCTCCTTGTGTTACAGTGGTTGGTGTGGGCCTTTTTGTATCCAGCTTAAAGGAATTTTAATTGGGTATATGTTTGGTGGGGTTTGGTGGGGAATGTTTTTGTGGTTTGTCATCCCTTCTGTGACTAGTTAAGTTACTGTTAGCAAGATTTCACAGGTTACTAAGGGGCAGATCTAAGATTGAAATGGGTATTTGCGACTAGTACTGATGATCTTAGCGTTTTGAGTCACTGCTTTTTTGTAAGTTGACAAATCAGCAGGTATCTGTTTCCAAAATTTGCAAGTATGATAATATAAATCCAGCCACTTGCCAGTGTTTAACACTCATTCCAGACCTGCCTTTCTCACTGCAAGACATAGTTCTGGTCTCATTATCCATTGTCCAGCTTGTTCACTGTACTCTTTTTGAACTACATTCTTGGCTCTATTAGACTGCCTTTTTCCATCATTTTCTTTGGTCAAAACTGTCTAGCTCAAACGAGTCTTTGTGTATTTTCATTCAGAGCTTGTTGATTTGGCATAAGCTATAAACATCAACAAAGTTAGCATAAAAGTCATACTATGCCAATGCAATATGGACCTTGATCACAAACTGGTTCATGAATATTATCAACGCAAAGAATATTTAAGTTACATTACTGCATGAGAAGACTTGAAATTCTCTGAAATCTCAATGCTCATGTATTAAAGAAATTTGATATCAGTTTTCTCAAAGTGACATGACTGCTAAATATTTACCTACTAATTTTCAATAACAAATTGGGAAGAATAATGGGAATTTTTTTTGAAGTGTCAATTAAGAAAAAAATAGCACCAGATGGGGGAAAAGTGAATTTCCTAACCTGTCAATAGAAAATAATCATCACATCAATAATCAAACACATCATATGAAAACATCAAAGTATACAGATAAAATGTAGATGACATTATAGAGGTATGGCATGTTGGTTATAAATAAAAATTATGTTTTTCTGGCTTTTGTGAAATGTACGTCAGTATTTCAGTATTGTTAGTTGTTACAATTCTTTTCTAAGGTAAAGATTTACTTTCTAGTGTACATTTCTATTCATTATTTCTGTATTCATTACTTAAGGGGGCCCCAAGATTTTACAACATACAGGGTCCACCCTGGCAGGGAAATTGTGTTTTCTCTGAAACTTGTATTCTCAGATTTTAGAACCAGGAGAGATCCAACAAATGTTTGCAAGAATCACAAGATGTTTTCTAAGAGTGCTTTTTCAACTTGATTTGCTATTTCCTTTGAAAACTGTATGCTAGAAACTTTGACCTTTATTTCTTAGAGGCCACGAGGGATTGCTCCAAGGAGATCTGTTCCTGGTGAGGATTACAGAATCCACTTTTAACAAGCACCCCAGTGCATGCATAGGCCACCCTCTGTGACCCTCTGAAGTAGGCTCTGCAGCCTGCAAGGCCACCCCATGCACACAGAAACCTCCTCTTACCATCTGAGCTTATTGGCTGAGGCACAGTTAGGGCTTCCCTGTGGGTAGCCCATCCCTAAGGTCCTGGCTTCCACCAGTGAATCAGGTCACATATAAATTCCCTGTAGTCATGACACTGTCCCCTTCTACTACCATTGCCCTCCCCCCATCCCCAGTCTGGCTTGCCTCCTTTGCCCCATAATTCAACTTGTCCTCTGTTGATGATCTTGATATGAAACATACATATATTTTGCTCCAATATTTGGCAATTCTGTTGGGAGATCCGTAAAGGATAGATTATATCATTCACCTGTAGGAACAAAAACAACAAAAAGTAAAGCAAAGCAAATTTTGTTTTCCTTTTTGTCATTACTCCTTATGGAATAAAGTGCATACTCCTAAGCATGAAAATCAAGGTTCTCCCTTATGTGGCTTCAACCACCTGTCCTGTTAGATTTTAATTTACAAAGATTCAATGCTGGGAATGGTACAACCATCTTGTCACCATCATACATGTGTTTTGGACTGCCTGAGACGTGTCCAATCTATGTGCACATTAAGACAAACAGTTCTTATCATTCTGTGAATTCCATATGTTTTCCCCCCTTTCTCATTATCCATGGTTATCTTACTATAGGTCATAGATTCCTCATTGGCAAAAAAAAAAAAAAAAAAAAAATCCCCTTGATCTTTAGGTCAACTATTGGGATTAGAGAAGAGCACTGTACCCAGCAGATATTTGCTGGGACCCTATTGAATTGAATCTGTGGTCATTAGACACAGCCTAGTCTTAATCTGTCCAGAGTTAGCACAATGACTTCTGTGACACAGTGGCTGACATATGATAGAAGATAATGGAAAGAGTGAATAGGTATTAATATTAAGGAAAGTTATCATCATCTTCATCTTTAAAACTCAAGAGTGTCCCAATAAGTAATAATAATAATAATAATAATAATAATAACAACAACAACAACAGCAACAGTAATTTTTGTAGGGTCTTTTCTTTGAGGCAGGGACAGTGCTAAACACTTTTAAGAGTATAATCTTAGGGGCGCCTGGGTGGCTCAGTTGGTTAAGCATCTGACGTTGGCTCAGGTCATGATCTAGTGGTCTGTGAGTTCGAGCCCTGCATCAAACTCTGTGCTGACAGCTTGGAGCCTGGAGCCTGCTTCGGATTCTGTGTCTCCCCCTCTCTCTGCCCCTCCCCTGCTCACACTCTGTCTCTCTCAAAAATAAGTAAACATTAAAAAATTTTTAAAAAGAGTGTTATCTTAAAATGGCAGTTTGTCTTTTTTTTAATGTTTATTTATTTATTTTGAGAGAGAGAGAGAGAGAGAGCACAAGTAGGGGAGGGGCAGAGAGAGAGGGAAAGAGAGAATCCTAAGCAGGCTCAGCTCTGTCAGCACAGAGCCTGACACAGAGCTTGATCTCATGAACCAGGAGAATCACGACATGAGCAGTGATCAAGAGCTCGACCCTTCACTGACTGAGCCAACTAGGCGCCCTGGCAGGTTGTCTCATTGTCTCCATTTTACAGATGATGAAAATGATGTTTAAAGAGACTAAATAAATCAAAATTACACAATCAATAGGGAGCAGAGGCAGGATTTGAACCCAACTTTGACCGATTGTAGCACTGGTATCTCTTGTTACTATGTTATATCTTGCTTCTCATTCAATTAAGACAGAACAATTAATTACAATCAGATTTGTACTTATACTTTTCTTTCTCCTCCCCAAAAAACTCATCTTTGACTCCATGTGCACCATGAATTGTCCCCATCATCCTCTCTAAGAACTAGTTGAGAATTCTTTGCAGTTAATTTTTTTCTTCTCTCTCTTTCTTTCCATCTTTGTCCTTCTGACACCAGTGGAGTTACATCTTCCTTGGCGGTTTCCAATCTCAACTAGCAAAGAATAAGGCTCTCGGCTCTGCAGGCCGAGAAAGTAACCTTGGCATAATGAATGACCTGTAGCTTCAGAACGCCTCTGGAATGCCAAATGACCACGGCTCCATGTCTCTGGAATGTGGAATGGCCCCTGCATTAGCCAGGTGACCCACAGCTGCACACCACTGGAATGAAAACTAGATTCTGGCTCCTAGAATACCAAATGTCCGCTCAAGGAAAAAGCAACGGATAAGCCTTCCTGCTGAGGAGGAAGAAATGGTAGTGACTGCCATTGCTGCGATGAGATAACTATCTGTTAATACTAATAACACCTTATTCTGAGTCACACAACTTCTGTGAACCACCTGCTGAAAACTGTCTGACCCTCCCCAAATCGGAGAAACAGATCTCTTCCCATGGGTAGAAATGTGTTCCCCCTACTTTGTGCTTCCTATGCATTGCCTGAAAGAAGAAACAGAAATCTTGTTTCCAAAATTCATTTTCCCAGTGCATTAATTTGGACTTACAAAGCTTTGTAATCCATTTAGACAGCATCGGCATCTACAAAGTCCTGTTCAGAGAATGTAGTTCCCCAGTGAGGGCGCCTGAACCCTTCCTGGAAGTCGCCTGCAAAGGAGACAAGGTGTAAGGATATTTGCATCAATCATGTTCACTAACTGGGATTTTAATGATTCTCTGTTCCCCTTTCTTCATCATCTTTTTTTTCTTCCCAGTGCCATTCCTCAGTGAATATTTCTTTTTCTTTTCTTTTTTTTTTTTTTTTTTCCTTTCTCTTTTCTCTTGCATTTCAATGCACTGGCTTTAAAAGGAGGATTTGCAAACTGAGTATTAAAACTCCAGGGTACTACATCTCCAAAATCTATAAGACGATAAGAAGATAAGAGGCCAAACCCACTGAAAGCTTCCCTCCCGGTGCCTGTGGAACTTGCAGGCTGGTCTATAATACCCCTAAGCGAAAGCAATCTGCCCACCTCCTCCCCACCCAGCCCTCCCTGCCTAATGCAGGCGGATAAACTTAGCATTAAAATTCCCACACTTTGGCAAATGAGTACCCAGGAGGCTGCTGACTCAATCAGAGCTTGTTTTACTTACAGTGTAGTACTGAGAAAAGGCCATAAACTCCAGCCTGACAGATCTGCGATGCTCATTTCAATATGCTTTCCCTGTGTGCGGGCTTGCTGATGAACTTTCATATTCCGCCAACAAAATATAACAAACATATTAACGACGTGTGGTAAATTGCCACTGGATATAGTGGGTCCTGATGACGGAAATGGTTGTGAGTAAATGAGATTGTCTGGCTGCCTAATACCACTTTGGGGTCCAAAATGATGCACTGCCTTGGAGGGAGGCGGGCAGAGGAAGAGGGGGCAAGCCAGCTAACAAGGGACACAGGTGCCCTTGCCCAGGGCAAATGGGGCATTGGAAACCCAAGACAACATTGTGTCAGAGCTATAGAGAGTGTCTGCTTAAACTCATTAATCTGATGTATATTAAAATCAAGACCCAGAGAGGAGATGTAAAAAGCCCAAAGCCACAGAGCAAGTATGTGACTCCTGAATCACAGCCCAGTGCTCTCCTGGTTGGTGGATTTGATTTATACCAGAAGCTGTCTGTAAGAGAGTAGTTGGACAGAAAGAATATAAAGAATGTTCCTGTGGCTCAAGTCAGTCCCGCATTCATCAGTACCAAAATGCACTGCTGGGCTTGTCTTTCTCTTTATCTGTAGTGCTTGACCTTTCTTTTGGGTGCATTAAGGGACACCAAAGGGTGATTTGGATGGAGTGTGCAGTGTGACCTCTACTGCAACCCCAAAAGGACAAGTATAATTCCCTTTCAATTGTCATAGATTCCTAATGACCCATTACAATTCTGACTCCAAGTCTAATGTGTGTGTGTGTTTTCCCCCAAAACCACCAAGCCACTTTCTGATGGCTGCTGGGTGTTACAGTCCAACTTGATTCTGACACTGTTTACCTGGAGACAGCATCAGGGTCCCCAGGTTAAGGTCTCAGTCCCACGAAATTTTTCTCTACTTCAGATACTAGTCCCAAGTCTGGGCTGTTACCTGTGCTTCTGACTGGTCACTTATTTCAGGTAAATTTAAGGTTTCAAGTTACCAAAAAGATTTTAAAAATGGTGTGTTTTTTTTTGTTTGTTTGTTTTTTTCAACGTTTATTTATTTTTAGGACAGGGAGAGACAGAGCATGAACGGGGGAGGGGCAGAGAGAGAGGGAGACACAGAATCGGAAACAGGCTCCAGGCTTCGAGCCATCAGCCCAGAGCCTGACGCGGGGCTCGAACTCACGGACCGCGAGATCGTGACCTGGCTGAAGTCGGACGCTTAACCGACTGCGCCACCCAGGCGCCCCTAAAAATGGTTTTTAAGTAGACATACCTTAAGGCATAATTGTTTAAAAGTTCACTTATAAACTTATATCTTACTTACATCTATTTGATTCATTGTTCTTAATTATGTTTAGATTAGTCATGAAAATTTCATGAGACAGTAAACAGCTAACCATCATCTTAAATTATCTTTCTGGCTGATAAATTCTGTACCATAGAGAACATGAGCTTATTTGACTTTTAGTAAAACCCGGGGAGAATAAAAGTATTATATTTAATGCTGATAACTCTAAACTCATGGTTATTTCAATTAAACAAACAAACGTAAACTAGCTTTTATTTACCAAAGATTATCCTAGACCACATGAACTTGGAAAACATTTGGGTTAGGTTTTTTGTATTTCTGAGAGTACAGGATGCAAACTGAGATGTTACAGTTTTTGCTTTAAAATTTCAGCCAGGAGAGATATGTAATCATTCAAAATTCACGAGTTTATAACAGGGCAGTTGCATCCAAGTACTGTTTCTGGCAGATGGAAGAAGTTAAGTTTTTCTGTTCAGATGGCTGAAGCTTTTTACTAATATTTGTGGAAAAGATTGTTAGGATTTTTTATAGGTCGAGTTTTCAAAATAGCCTTCCCCTCCTTTTTCCCTTCTTATAAGAATTCCCTTGGTTCCTGGAGAAGACCAGGTAGAAGAATTTCATCTCAAAAGGCACAGAGAAATAATACAGGTTCTACCAAGGAGAATTTTTGTTGTCTAAGCCCAGATCTTATACCATATCCGCAAGCCTTTTGAGAAGAATAGGGGAAGTTTTGGGATTGGTAAAAAAAAAAAAAAAAAAAAAAAAGATAGGTGGGCTTTGAGTTGTTTCTAGAGTCACATTTCTGTTGTTATAAAGACTCAATTTGTAGGACAAGGATAGTTGTTTTTAATTCCTCAAAGAAATGGACTGCAACCAGAATGACACAAAGAGGCTGATATATACACATCCTACTATATTATCTTTTATTTGTTTCTTTAGATCAGGGAGAAGATGTTCAACTAAGATGAAAATTAAAGGATTCCTATGTTCTAGATTTACAGCTGTGTGTCTTTGGAATGTTTTAGTAAACCCTTCCACAAAGGCTTCAAAATGGTTTTATTTGCTTCTGGTACATAGTTTCATTTAGCTTTGGGGGAAGGCCTTAAAAAATTCTTACTAGGCTTTAAATACCAGCTTCTAATTTGGCCAACTTCTGACCATAAGGCCACTTACAAAACAACGACAACAAAGCTTTTGAATATCTTGTCAGGTTTCATCTGGGATAAACAGTATTCTTGGCAGTATTAAATAACCTCATGGACACAAAAGGCATCCCCAAAGAGGGTGAAAAAAATTTTCCCTCCCAAGATCCAGAGACTCCCAAAGATAACCAAAAGAAAGATTTAGAGAATTCCTTTGAGATCTGGAAATCGTTGGTAGGACCCTAGCTACAAATGAAGTACAACCCACATTTCTGTCTAGCCATATTCTGGGGACCCCCTACCTGACAGTTGCCAAGCCAAGTGCTCAGGATACAAAAATGAGGGAGGCAAGGGCTATCCCTAGGAGGGAAAAGATGGACAACCAATGGGTACCTGACAGCCAATTCATAATCACCATTACAATTTTTTTTTTTTTTCTTTTCCTGCCAATGTTGATTTGGGAAGGAAAGGGCAACATGAAATTGTACTTTCCTCTCTTGACCAGGCACCACAGATAGAAATCTGGAGGAACTGACTTTGGTAACAATTCTTACATTTTGCTGCCTTCTGCCAGTTCTCCCAGGATCCCATCTGCAGGCTCCAGAGCCAATTGATGGTTCCAGCATTTCTTATGGAAGGCACCAGAAACCAAGGGAAGAAAGGGGTGCCTGGGTGGCTCAGTCAGTTAAGCCTCTGACTTCAGCTCAGGTCATGATCTCATAGTTCGTGAGTTCAAGCCCTGTGATCAGCTCTGTGCTGACAGCCCAGAGCCTGGGGCCTGCTCTGAATCCTGTGTCTCCCTCTCTTTCTGCCCCTCCCTTGCTCTCTCTTTCTCTCTCAAAAATGAATAAATGTTAAAAAGAAAAAGAAACTGGAGGAAAAGTAGTTTTCCCTCTACCCTTTACAGCGAGTGCCTGGCCAAGACACCTTTATCTCCAGGGCACCTCCTAAATGGATAAGCTTATCTAAAATGGTTAAAAGTTCTCTGTAGTGGTCTCCATAATTCAAGATTATCTTTGGTAAAGTTAACCCTGTTCAGCCTTAAAGCAAAATGTTATTCACCTGGGCCTCACACTGGACCCAGCCCAGCTTAGGTCGGATTCAGTCTGGTTCCTAAGGAGGAACCACTCCGACCCGGGCACATTTCAGCCCCAACTGGGTCTGGTTTCCACATCGGAACCACTCTGTTCCTGGACCCGGGGAGGTTTCTTAAGGGGACCCCGTCCAACTCCGGGCAGTTTCCGGACCCAGTGTAACTCTGGCCGGGTCAGGTTTCCCAGTCGGAACCGCTCTGTTCCCGGACCCGGCGGGTTTCCCGGTCGGACCCAGTCCAACTCCGGGCAGTTTCC